CAGGGACGGGTATGCGACGGCCGCTACTTCGACCAACTGTGGCGCCGTTCTGTTCAGAGCCGTGGGTTCAGGGTTTAGGACAACTTGGACCATCTTGCATGGCCCGTCCAAAACTCCCGAAAGCAAAGCTACTTACACCTTTCCTTAACTGGATAGAATATGGGGTATATGGGGATCTGTTTATAACATACCCAAAACCATATTCTATCTACTTAAGGGGGTCTATATACGCGCAAGCCTAGACCCTTTACCTTTAGCCTCTAACTCTACTTACAAAGGATATATAGAAAAATATGTGCAGAACCCTAAACCCCAAACCCTAAACCCTAAAACCCTAAAACCCTAAACCCTAACCTTAAATGCTAAGCCCCAAAGCATGAATGCTTAGGCGACCTTCTCGTTGCGCAGCGGATTCTGGCCATGTCGCCCAAGGCCAGGGATGGCGGGGTGTTTTGGGGTACAGGGCTTAGGCTTAGGGATTCCGGGTTTAGGGTTTTAGAATTTAGGGTTTGGGATTCAGGGTTTTAGAATTTAGGGTTTGAGATTCAGGGTTTTAGAATTTAGGGTTTGGGATTCAGGGTTTTAGGGTTTAGGGTTTGGGGTCCAGGGTTGAGGGTTTAGGGTCCCTGTCTGGGGATTCTTGAGGGGGTCTGTCAAAATTGGGGGCCTTGGGCACCCGAGGAAGATGTGGGCCTTTTCCACAGTCATCTGGGGGCTCCTTCTCGGGGGGTAAAGTAGGGGCCGCTTTGAGAATTGTCTTTACAGGTCTGGGGTTTATACTGGAGTGTGATCTACGGCTACATTCTGATTGCGCTATACTATACTCACAATTAGGGCCCCTCATATGACTGTTCCAGGGTAGCGGCATCATCGCAGCTTTCAACTTTAGCATAAGCTCCTCTAAATTGGCCCTAAACCCTAAACACTTGGACCCTAAACCCCAAACCCCGAACCCTCATCCCTAAACCCCAAGCCTTGAACCCTAAACCCTTGGACTCTAAACCCCAAACAAGCGCACGGCCGGCCCTAGACCTCAGATGCAGTTTCCAAACGGCACGGGTTTAGGGTTTAGGGAGCGGCCAGAAAAGCCTCTCAAATGATGTGCATCCCTGACATACGGACCCACCAAGAATGATAAAAGGATTTTGGTTACCCCAACCCCCAAATTCAGGACCCTATGATTATCGCATGCTGGCTATGGGGTCCTAATTTTGGGGGTTGGGGTTACCAAAAACGCCTTATTCAGGGTTCCTCCACGTCTTGCAAAGCTGCACCCTACAAATCAAGAGCACTTAATTTTTGACATGCTTTCTGGACTTCGACAACACTTCCTTAATTAATACTTACCAGGCAACCTGCGTGTTCCAAACCCTAAACTCTAAAGCCTAAAGCCTAAACCCTAAGCCGATATCCCTGCTGTACTCCCCATATACCCCTCGCATCCCAAAGCCTACACTCCCCCAAACTAACATGGAAACCCATATAGCCTCATTTTAGAAGGACTGTAGTCTCTACAGGGCCCCTTTTGGGTTTCCATGTTAGTTTCCAGGAGTGTACCTAAACCCTAAACCCTATACCTCTCTTTTCAAAAACCCCCGCCGCCTATCTTTTGTCAAGTCCCAGTCCCACAACAGGTCACGTAGGAGGTTTCGAACATGAACCCTAAAGCCTAGGCCCAATGCGGTTTAGGGTTTAGGGTTTAGGGTCAATCCCCTAAGACCTTCTAAACCCCTAAACCCCAAACCCTAAACCCTAAACCCCTATTTCATTTTCCTATCCCAACAGACTCCTCCATGTGGACCCTCCCCCATATAAAGTACAGGTGTAATCCATCCCATTGGGGTAATATTAGAGTTATATTAGGGTTGTATTGAATAAAGGAAAATAAGATAGGAAACTACTATTTAGGGTTCAAGGTTTTTGGACTTTAGGGAGGTGCTGTCCATAGCTTTAACCCTAAAACTGAAAGCTTCACTTCTAACTCAGCGGGTTGCAAACGAGCCTGCCAACAGAACATAACACAACTAAGCTGAGGGTACCCAAGGCGGGGTTTTCCGAGAATTAGCGGTAGTATTTGGAGGTCTATACTAAGTATCCGCTGTATCCAGGACAAGAAACGGAATACAGCGGCTAGAAAACTACCTCGACAAGTATGCAAGACTAGCACTCATGTTTTAGTCGTGGTTCGTGCTTCTTCTTGTCGTGGCATTGTGCTTTTTTGTCGTTGTTAAAATGTGCCCTTGACTACATTGGGTCCCCCTGTTTCTGAGCACTACGTAAAGGGCCCTAAAATCCTAAGCTCCAAACCCTGGACCTCAAAGGCCCTCATTTTTGCAGTTCCCATTTCTTGATGAGGCGACAGCGTCGCCTGAGGCTGCTGGTTCAGCTGGGGAGGAAGCAGATGCATTGCCACATAGTGTAGGGTCAAGGGTTCCAGGCTCAGGTAGCTTAGAGTTTAGGGTTCAGGGTTTAGGATTTAGTGTTTAGGATTCAGGATTTGGGTTCAGGGTAGCTTAGGGCTCAGGGGTTTCGATCTGGCTTGTAACAACTTGTCGTGCGTGCTTGTTTGCTTGCTTGCTTTCGCTCTAGCTTGTGGCCACGCGCGCGTCGGATTTCAAATTGCCGCGAGGTGATGGTGCCGGTGTTGGTGGTGCTGGTGATGGTAATGCTAGTGCTGGTGCTGCTGCTGGTGCTGGGATCGCGGTGGCGTGGCGGTGGGGTGGCGGTGGTATGGATGGTCGTAGTGGAGGAGGTAGAGAACTAGTAGCAGTAGCAGTACCGGTGGCTGAAGTAGGGTACAGCACCTCAGGCAGCGCCCGAGGCCAGGATCCGACACGGAAAGCTACCCGAACATCGTGGACTTGGCTATGAACTTGAGGATTAAATTGAAAGGTGAAGGTTTAGGGTAAGGAAATGAGAATAATGAACATGATAATGAATACTAGTTATTGGAGTTGAAAGGCTAGTGATAACCATAACAGTTACAAACACATAAATATTGAGAAGGTCCGGTCGAATCAGCCGATCTCCTTTTGGCACACAGCCTCTACGAAAATTTGGTCGCGTGTCTGTGGAGTTCCCTGGATGCTCTTGCACGATCAAGGCACAGCGTCTCTAGAGAAACTTTGGGACCGACGTTGCCAATATGGGCTCTAGTTGAAACTCCTAAAAGGGGGTTATATGGGGGAGTATTATAGGGGACTATTGAGGGGGATACTGGGAGTTTAGACAAAAGCTTATATGATCCCAATACAATATATTCCCTTCTTCCGTACGAGCCCCTAAGCACTAAATCCTAAATCCCAAACCCTAAACCCTAAACCCTAAACCCTAAACCCCAAACCCTAAACCCTGAACCCTAAACCCTAAATCCCTAAACCCTAAACCCTACCTTCCTTCTTCCCCATGTTGGAGCTTAAGAAGTTTTGCGAAGATGCGAACATCACAGAGGGCTCTGTAAAGCCATGGTGCGGAACAGCCCTCCGGTTGAGGTCTGGTTTTAGGGCTAGGATTGGGGTTTGGGGTTTCTAGGGTGTAGGGTTTGATTTCGGCTTCGGGCTAGGGTTTAATTAGGGTTTGGGGTTTCTAGGGTGTAGGGCTTGATTTGGGGTTCAGGGTCTAGGGTTTAGGGTTCTAAACCTCACGTACACCTTAAAGTCCAGCCCTTAAATCAAAGCCCTCAAGCTTAAGTCCTGAAATCTTTCTTGGAGGGTCGGTGGGAAGTGAGTGCACCTATAACCCGATAAGCCATATGATAGCCCCCAGTGATCCCGAATATAGATTCTAAACCCCAGACCCTAGACCCCAAACTAAGCTCTAAAACCAAAACCCCCAACGAACGCAGTCGTGCGCAAAATCTTTTCCATCACAAATCTACCTACCAAGTCCCCCTTCAGGGACACCCTGAGCTCCCTCTCCTGCTGGCGGTTAGTCGGCATAAAGGAATATATTTCCGATATCAACCCTACATGATATCTTCCCCTATTTCCTAGTAACCCCCCCTCATAAGCCTTGCAGGAATCGCCGAGTCACTCCCTGGCAAAGATCCAGGAGTTCAACAGTCGAAGCCTGATTGAGTTTAGAGGCTGAGGGTCTAGGGGTTTAGGGTTTATTAAAGAGTTTGGAAGTTTAGGGTTTACAGTAAGGGTTTGGGGTTCAGGGTGCTAGGGTTGAGGTTCTAGGGGGTTTACGGTTTAGGTTTATGGTTCATGCTCCAGGGGTTGCAGGTTTGATGTTCAGGAACTTTCATCAAGTTACGATCATATGGAGATATGGTACAGCTAGGGCTGTCTCATTATTATGTGAAGAAGAAGGACACAAGAAGGCTCCTCTTTGTAGGAAGTTAGCTGAAGTTCCGTACCAGCTGCCCAGCAACAGCAGCAGCAGCAGCAACAACAACAACAGCAGCAGCAGCAACAACAACAACAACAGCAGCAACACAGCAGCAGCAACAATCACAAACACCACAACCACCACAACCACCAC